CCCCCCCCCCCCGCTCATAAGAAGTGCGTACAGTTGATCATAGTCCCTGGGCTCCCTGTGGTATTATTGTTTCTATGAATATCTAAATTTCTGATACTACTTTATTTTGTTAACCTCCTCCACGGATGTTCACAAAATCATTCTTTAGAAAGTTTTTCGCTATACAATCTTTCTCTAGAAGTCGTGAACCTTTTCATGGCCGAAAATGAAAATCAATATGTTTCAGGTCAGGATATGTTTCAAATAATGGTGTGGTGGTGCATTTTTTTTGTCTTACCAGTATTTTTGGGAAGTGAAATATTTTGCCTAGAAGCAAAAGAAGAGTTGAAAACAACCTGATGCGCATGGTACCGAGTGTAGAAATCAAATTTATTTTTGTTTGACGTATTTAGGCCAGACTTTTGTTATTCTTTGTTTCGTGAGTTTTTATAGAGGGGAGGCAAGAGGGGTAGCTGGTACGGTTTTACGGGAAATAAAAAGGGCTTTTCACAATTTACGAAGAAAAAAAACGTTTTTACAGTTTACAATGTTAAGTAATGGAACATTGATTGGTCCAAAGAGCTCCCCGACTCAAATTCTCCGCCATTGCTGCGCCGTGTGAAGAGACGCATGCGCATATTACCCTCGTAATGCTCTTCATTCGGTTCATTTTTTAGAGGGCCTTTTACGTCTTGACATTCAATTTTGTAGTGAATTGTGTCATCTAGTCGTTTTACAGTTTCTAAAATGTAATTTCCCTGGATTATTCCTTACGATTTTTTTATTTGGATGTGAATTTTTGTACGTACGAGAAAAATGACACATTTTTACAGTGTACGAAAAAAATATTTGATTGATTACGTTGTACGTCTAGCCTGTGATTACAGAATTACGGAATTTATTTTTTCTATTTACGTTGTACGAACAAAAAAATATTGCAATTACGTTGAACGAAAATAACCCTTGCCCCCTTCTTTATAAGGTAATTTTTTTTGAGGAGAGCGGGAAAAAAATAAAATTAATTCTTTTTTCCCATTAGATTTGTGTGATTCTCAAAGAATTGTAAGTGAGATCAAATTTTATTCCATGTATAACCTTGTTTCTCATCTGAGTGAGACTTCGGTACTTTGATCATGATACTCCCACAAAAATGCAACTTGGATTTGTTATGCGGTGGGTGGTAAAAAAATGAAAATAAAAATAATATTTTTTTTAGCTTTGTTTTGAGCTTACAAGTCGGCAGGCGCGAAAAATTGCACTGAAATAAAATCATATTTTTATTTCATTTTCGGCTCCTGTTCATTCGGCGGGTTTGCGAAACAAGGGATAATAAAAGTCTGGCCTTAGTTACAATAAAATAAACATGAACTGTTTATAAATTTGGTATGAAGGAAAGGCAGAGAGACTCATGGGTAATGGGTGCTACCAAAGCTCTTACTTACTAGTAGTCAATAAAAACTGTTTTTTTGGACTTGAGTGTAATTTTATTAATTTCTGTAAAAGAACTCTTGAAAACGAAATGACTTCCCAACTCAAAAACATGCCATGTGCTTGCCCTGATGATAACAGCCTATGGAATTTATTAATTTAATCATGATTTGAATTGTTAATATTATATGTCATATCATATAGAGTTTAGGTTTTCTATACTGCTGCTGTATAGACCATTTTCCGTACACTGCGAGAATCACGCGTTATGCGTGAAATCGAACGTAAAAACAGGACAAACAAAGGTCATAGCGTCGTAATCGCGTCAAACATCGCGTAGGATTCGACAAACGCGAAAGTATTTTGGGGACATTTCCATGCTTAATAATG